CAAAAGTCCAACTTTTTGTGCAGCAAAGATTTTCATTTTTCGGTTCCTGCCTCTTCCAATAACACCACAACAATCATAAAAGTCATTTCATTTTTATTTACATAATCACATGGTGTATTTCCCCTATGACACTAGAACGTGAGAGATCAGAGACAGACCTTCCAGACTCCACAAGAGCTACACATCTCCGCTGGGAAGCAGGAGGCCCTAGAAAATTCAAAAGGCTGGTATCATTTTACAGGGGCATATGCAACAACTCTCATGACTTGGCAAATGCCAGAAGTACAAGGATGCAGCAGGAAAAACAGAGCTACAATCCCAGTGGGAGAGGTGGATCCACAGCCCTCCCTGCTCTGGACAGGGACTCTCAGTTTATACAACTGTCTTTGTGCCAGCAATGACGGGTTTCCTATCTGAAAGACTGGTTATATTAACATGTCACATGGTAGTGCATATGACAGTGGACTATATTGTCACAGTTATACCTGAGCTAATGTGTCAAAGAATCTGCTCTATCAGCTGGTTGGGTCTGAGGTCAAATTTCTTTTAAAGTTTCTCTTATTAACAATAGAGAATAAAATGCCCCTGAAGTGCAGATGTCTCCACACAGGAAATGGAGTCACCACATCACACCCCTGGTGGAGCACGGAGCAGAGGTGTGGAAAACACTGATGAGGAAAGAGGTTTGGACTGGGCAGCAGCTGCCAGTTAGGACCTGCTATGCCTGGAAGCAAACAGGAGCATTTTCACATAACCTAGCTATAAGTGCTAGTGGATGTTGTGTAACACTAATGGACCTGGGCAAATCTTTGGAACAGCCTGGAGCTTCCAGGAGTCCACACAGGCTTCTCTGAAAATGCTGATTTCATACCAGGACTAACAGGATTTGGATTGCCACGCAAAGCCGCACCGTAGCCCTGAGGCCTCCTTTTAACAGCACAGTGGGAAGGCAGGGAGATCAACAGCAATGTCAGAGGGCGAGACAGCCTCTGGAGAGTCAAGATATAACCAGATATGGGAGACAAAGGGAAGACTACTGGAAGGGAAGAGGGCAGGAGAGTAGAAAAAAAGAGCTTTCTTGGGAGACAAGGAGGAGACAGGCAGCAATGGCACGATGGGCCCAAAACTTCTGTAGCATGTTGGTGCCAAAAGAACGACAGTTCCAAGAATCAAGCAAAAGAAACTTGTTCGCGTTAGGAGAGGAGGCTTCTCCTCAGGCTGTGATGGAAGTACAGAACTCTGCTAGAAAAGAACAGAGCCTGTTCTGCCACAGCCCATCATCAGTCAGAAAGACCACAACAGGGCAGATGTAGGAGGAAAGCCCAGGCCCACATCAAAGCTCTGGCCAGCTGGAGCCATTCCAGCAGAGAGACCTGACAGTCCAGCATGACTGATGAGGCCCGTATTGCCAATCAAAGAGAGAGGAACATAATAAGAGTCTCTAAAGGGGAAGGATCTAGGCTCACGGTCAGGTTGGAGAGAATGGGAACTGGCACTTGGGGTTTGGAATCCAGCCGAGCAGGAACTACAGGGCGAGTCCACTCGAGTCCTATTGCAGGTTCAGCAACTCAAGTTTCAGAACCATTGTGTATGAGCATCTCTCATGAGGGGTGTTTAGCACCACAACCCAAACCTGGCCCAGAGCAGCACCAGCAGTCAACAAGCTGGCCGGCTGCTGAGCCAGCTGGGCTGAGTATATAAGCCCAGGCCCTTCATTTGGGCTCTGGCTGGCTGCTTAATGTCTTACATCCAGTAATAGCTTGGTCCTGCTTCTGCCTCAGCTCCAGCCCTGCTCCTACCTTTTACCAGCCCTGCTCCCACCCTGGATCCCAATAGCTCACCCCTGCCTTTCTTGTTGTGCATCTGGACTCCGCAGCTCTTGACCTTCTTCTTGACCTGGAGTACAGATATGGATATCATGTTGGAGTAGACATGTGACTCTGTGCAAAGGGGTCTGAACCAGGTAGTCAATCTCAACCACGGATCTGGATTCCCCGGAGGCTTAGGTACTTTATTAATTCCATATTCCTCCAGATTGCTCACGCCCCCTTCCTTATACATGTTCTTTGATATTTACCTTTAGAACTGCAGGGTCCAGTTCTCAGACTCTTGCTGTCCAGAATACCTACCCAGCCTCGCTGCTCCCACACACCTACAGACCAGCACCAGGTTTTGGGAGGCAGAGAAACAGAGCATTCAATACAGAAGGGATTATTTAGGGATCACAGAAGCAGGGCAGTGGATGGGGATGAGACAGGTAAAAGGCCAAAGACAAGAAGAAGGATATTTAAACTAGCTATTAAAGAAGAATCACTGGAAGCAAAGTCACAGGGCAGATCTGCCACCAAGAGGTGTTAATGGCCATTTCCTAAATGCATTGGAGAGAAAACTGGATGCAAAGGTCGCATGTAGAGGAACTCCAGCCATGGGGTAGACCTAGAAGTCCATTCTCCTCTGAATGACTGTGTGGTCAAGGGCAAAACTCAGGCAGATCTTTTAGTGTCTCCCTAAAAAGAAACACCTGGGGCTGCAGAAGAAGTGCATACAGAAGTTTAATATATAGTAGGGCCGTCCAGCTGGTGGCTCGCAAGCCTCACATGGTCTGAGAGGTGTTAAACTCTGCATCCGCCCACCACTTCTGAGCTCCCACCCAGCCATCTCTCCCCATCACTCTAGCCACAGCAGCAGTCAGGGGCTCTGGACTATTCTGCCAGCTTCTGTTTCCTGCACCTGCCCCAGAGGGTAACAGTGCACCAGATCTGGCAGTGTATTTCAGCCTGCGGCTGGTGAGTTGTGGGGGGTGGGAGGCTTCCCATGTGCGTGCATGGTTGGGGCTACCACCTACCACCCCGTGCAATGAAATGGTGGGGGGAACTGCCTGCATGTGGTGAAACACTGGGGTGGGGAGGACTGCCCAGGGACAGTGACATGGTAAGGGAAATGTCCACATGCACAGTGGAG